TATAAAGAAGCTAAACAGACTCATTGGCCACTTTATTAGGTGCACATTTCAGCGGCTTCTTAAAGCAAATATCTGAATCATGTGATGTATATGGGTCATATGACAGCAACCCAATGCATTTAGGCATGCAAACGTGACAGGGTGCTGAAGTTTGAACTGAACGGAGAATGGGGATTTAATAGGTGATTTAAGGGACTTTGCACACGAGAGTTAACTCATATTACTCGTTACAATCAAATTATGCAGAAGAGCATCTCTGAATGTGCAGCACATCGAACCTTGAAGCAGACGGGCTACAGCAGCAGAGGGTCACACGGTCAGCTATTGACAGGAAACTGAGGCTACAGTTTGCACCTGCTCAACAAAATCAGGCAGTAGAAATGCTGCATGGTCTGATGTGAGCCAACATTCAAATAGCAGGGTCAGCTATTTGATTAAACATGAGGCCCAGGGACCAGATTTGGCCCAGCATTGACCTCAATCCGGCCTGCTGGATGGCGTTGGGAAAAGGAGGACAGAAATGTGGGAATTTTAAATGCATTTTCACAAGTTTTACAGCTTTAATAAAAAACAGTACACCAAAGTAATTAACTAATTGATTTCTGTAACTTTATACATTTATTCTTACAATTTAAGCCCATGCTGACAGATTTTTTTTTAGTTTACTAAAGCAGCATTTCTTCACCATGTAAGAAAAACTGAGAAATAATGTTGAAATCACTCTTTTTTGTCCTATATTAAGGTCTCTCATTTATTAAATGTGTAGGTAAAATTTTTAAACTTACAGAAATCAGATAAGATGAGAGTGGGCTGTATGTGGGCCGCAATATAAAAGACTGGTTTCTTAAACATGGCAGTGAGTTCACTGAACTCAAATGATCTCCACAGTCACCACATCTCAGTCCATATTAAATAATAATTAATAACTTCAATGAACTAAAAGGTGATTATAATAATGTAATGAAGGGGCTCATCATAAGCACCTGTTATGTCCAAAGGTTGGAAGAGCCTCATACGAGCAATGTCATTTTTCTGGGTCTGGCTGTTGTAGCCCTCATGAGTTATAATGAGACGCACCGAGTAAGCAGGGTTAAACAGAGGGCCTAATGGGTCCACCATCCCAGCATACTGCCCAGTCTGCAGGACTGGTGGCCCTGCAAAGGTGGGGGGTGACCAGCAGAGATTTGATTAATGGTGGATCAAACCACGGTTACTGAAGGGTGGTGAAGGTGAAGGTGGAGGACTCACCAGGTCACACACTGAGCGGTGGTGACTATCCAGTAGGGGGAGATGATGGCTCCTCCACAGCGGTGAGAGCCGGCAACCTGGAGGCTGACTTGCCACAGCCACGACCCCAGGGAGGCCAGCTGTACTGCAGATGCCCTGCTGGAGTTCACCCTGCTTCCTCAGTCTGAAAAAGGAGGGTGCTGTTAGAGCATTCTACAGCTACAGTCTTTCAGAGAGACAAAACTTATTTAAAAAACTTTAAATGTTGGAAAACGTCAACAACATACTGAAAGAAAAACAGTGTGATTACGAGGCAGAGCCTTCAGCTATCCTTGACTATGGAAACAACTCCCAGATTGGATTCAGGAGACAGACAACCTCCCGCTTTTAATATTAGGCTACAAATTTTCTTTTTGATATGCTGCATGCACTCCACTATTACATTAAATCATTAGTAATTAGCAACTTTTGGTTCTCGCTATACTTTGCCTGTCTTGTCTCTCTCTGCTCTCTTCTCTTTTTTCCTTATCCCCAAACTGAGCCTTGTTCTGCTGGAGGTTTCTTCCTGCTAACAGTGAGTTCTTTGTTCCCACTATCGCTCTCACTGAGGTTTGGTATTGTAGAGACCCTACACTATTAGAAAGAAACCTCAGCTAACACACCCCTTTCTGTGATCCAGCACATGGTGACAGTGGGAAGGAAAAACTCCCTTTTAACAGGAATAAACCTTTATGTGCTTGTAATTCACTTGCCAGGTGAAAGGTTGCTGGTTTGTTTCCAGCTGGAGTCATAAATCCCCTTTTGGGTTGAGTATAAGCGGGTTTACCTTATAATATAAAGCACCTTGAAGTGACTGTTGTTGTGATTCGGTTCATTTCTAAGAAAGTATAAAGACATACCAGTACAGTGCAATGTCACCACCATGTTGTTAGGACATGTACTTCTGAGGATGGGAGGAAAAAATGAGATCAGGTTAATATTATATCAATATTAGCATTTTGACACAGGTTTATCATTACCAGCTCACTCACTGTAGGGCAAGTTGTTGAGGTATGGATGCCTGAGGGTTGAAGTTAGACTTCACTAGTAAGAATCCATCATTAGCATCAGCCCTTTGCTGGCCTGATTTAAAATACGTGCCCCTGTCAAAGCACAAATTGTAAAATAAAATTGAGCATCGCTTGAAAATCGTTCACAGAGCAGCTTTTGTTTCATCTCGGGCTGAACTAGCTGAGCATCTCACCTGCTGTATCCGATGCTCTGGCAGCTCGCTCTGCCCTTCTCCTCGGTCCAGCCATGAGAACCAACAGATTTCCAGGCTTTACTCTGAGTCGAGTAGATCTGAAGCAGGAAACTGGAGCCGTGCAGCCTCACTGAGCACAAACAGCAAACACAAGCGATGACTTGGCATTTTGTCACAAGTGGAAAGTGGGTGAAGAGGCAGCCAGTTGAGAGTGAAGCACACAAAGGACTGGCAGTCAACAAGGGAAGATAAATGCTTCAGTCTACATATTATCTCATTATCTCATCATGAGGAATATGGATGAATCCAGAAAAAACAAACCTATAAAAGCATCAAACTTTTCCGTTGTATAAACTCTGACCTTGTTTTCAAAGATTGGAAATCAAAATGAACAGAGTTAACTTTCTGGGATTCTCTCACCTTCTTTTATTGAGCGTGCATCAAGATAACAACTAATGAGGCTACCTGGGAACAGGTCAGCAGCACCATTGGGTGTAAACCAAGCTTCACCACTCTGTGAAGAAGTATGGTTTTAGAGGATTTTGGGGGGATTTCATCATCTATTGACCATAATTCAGAGAAGTCTCTGTAGGGTACAGAGTTGAAAGCTGGGTTTGACACCCCCAGGTGGCACTGCTTTAAAAGCAGGCATGATCCTGTGATATAAAGCCCTGCAATTGATCAGTTATCCTAAACACAAGTGTGATCCAAGGTAAACCTCGAGTCATGCTGTTGTCTTCTCTTGGCTCCAGCTCAGTTAAGATTGGCTAAGGTGAGCTAAAAATCTGTTCTGTGGGAATTTCCATTTTTTTGGAAATCCCAGAGAAGCTTCATCTGCTGGCTAATAAACAGAACGGCTCCCGGTGATTGCATGGGGCACTAGAACACACAGTGTGGGTAATTTACACATATGTGAAGGTCTCATTAGGGCTTAATAGTATATTCAGCTTTTAGGGCAGCATAACGCTTCCATGGAGAAGATGTCTTTTCCAGAGAAGTCCTTAGTTTTGCTCATTTCTGCAAGACAATGCAAGGTGCCAGTAGTCCAGATGAAAAACTGACCCACTTGCAGTCCAGACCTGTCCCCCTTTGCAAATTTTGTGCGCTATGAAACAAAAAACACAACAAAAGAGGCTCCAAAATGAAATCTTATCAGCGCGAGAATGGGAAAGCATTAAACTTCCCCCCAAAAAAGTCCAAATTTCATTTGTTGTTTTCCAAGTTTTTCTTTTTTGGAAACCAGGTTCTTATCAGTGTGTTTCATTCAGCTTTATTGAACAAATCTAAAAGTGGAGGACAGAGAAGCTTTTTCTTCCCACCATGAAGCTGCTTACCACAGTTAGCTTCGTCCTGGCCTGCGGGACAGTCTGTAACCCCATCACACCACTGGGACTCCCACACACTGTTCCCATCTCCACATTTAATCCCATGAATACAGGATGAAGAAACTGGAATTCAAGACAGGAACCAGAAAATAAAATCAGTCTTCCAATCTCAGTAATGTTGACTCAGTTCACTAAATAAATCCTTCACTTACAGTAATAGGCAAGGAGGATTCCAGCCACCAGCAGCTGCAGCAGCAAGGAGATGACAGCAGCAACAGTGAACTTGATGCACCTGTGTTTAAAATCTGACAGAAGAGCGCTCACCGTGACTGGAAACCCACTCACACCCAGCTTCACGATTACATTTTATACACAAAACAGTTTCTAATGACACTTTTTGTTACAAGCAGCGTCCAAATGATGTGCCTGGTATCTGTACAGTCGTGTAAAGAATTAAAATTGTATTAAAAGACACTCAAATACCTTTGTGCTTGGGGATGGAGGGACTGATGTCAGGTGGAAGCTTCAGCGCCACATTGTGAACATACTGGGGTTGAACATCTGATTCGGCGAGCGCAGGAAGTTTCATCTTCTCATATTAACGGATGAAGTGAGGACAAGCGTCCAGATACTTTTGGCAGAGCAAAAGTGTTTTTGTAAAGTTACAATACTTAAAATAAATTGAAAGCTGGTCTTCTTCTCAAGGCTGATTAAATGCAGATTAAAACTCACCGGATTGGTGGTCATTTTCTGTTTAATCATCAAAAATTGAAATAAAATCCCCCTGTGATAACTCCAGCAGCAATCTTTCACTCAGATAATCTCATCCACATCACTGCCAGCACCTCCGGCATCTCCTCCCAGGCTCCGCTCTGCTCATTCTCACATGGACGTGATCAAATAGAGAGTTTGTATGAAAACTGTCACGCCTACACTTCACACAGCATCAGTTTGTTTCCCTCCTGAACACACAGCAAAGACAATAACGAGTTGGCGAGTCTAAACATGACACAGGTGTTATCTGCTTAAGTGTCAGAGCAGTGAGTGAGTACTGCTATGCCGAGTGTGCAGTGGAAAGGTACTGAAAACATGACGTATGGGCAGGTAGACACAGTGTGTTTCAGTGATGCAGTGGCTGAGCGACAAGAAAATATGGAGAGGATATTTTAATGTGAAAATGAAATGCATTAATCAGGCCAGCATGCTTTTGGATTGACTGCTTTTTTATTTATTTAATGATACAGTACTCATTTGACAAAGCAGCCTTATATTCAATGCACAGGAAAAGAACAAAAACATTTTACCTGATAATAAAGAACAGACATGAAATGACGCCTGGAGAAGGCTTTAAATGGTACTTCACATTCATACAGTCACTTAGCAACATTCACATTCATCTGGGTGAAACATAAAACATGCACAACAAACATGTCAGCCTTCCAAACACACACACAAAGTTATTTGGTCTTTTTAATAATTTTTGTGATTTGGCTTCATTCCTAATGTTGATCTGTTGAGTCAGTTTTATTAGAGTCGTACAGAAAGGAATAAAAATTCCCACCTCTCTTTTTTTCAGCCAAAATAAACTTTTTCTTTTGCACTTTTTCCCTGATATCACTTTTTTCCAGTCTACACCCAGGCCTGCCATCCTGGGAAAAGTCTGCTAAGGTTTTTGGGGTCCATGGCTTGCTGGATGAGCAGGTTGACCTGTCCTCCCACGCTGAGCACCGTTCCCTCTTCCACTCCCTTGAGCTTCTCCTGCAGCCGCAGCAGCACCCGCTCCGCCACCTTGTTGAAGCTCTGACTGTCACTGCTGGAAAGAATATGAGGGGAAGAGACTGAACACATACACAAAACCTCGCCAGCTCCAATTCTGACACTTCTCTCCTTGATTACCTGGATTTACGGCTGTTGTCTATGTCATCTCCCCCCATAGTGGAGCTTAGCGTTGCGTTAAGCTCCTGCTGCTCGTCATGCTGCAGGTAAAAAGCTTTCAGGGGGTTCATGGTCCAGTCAAACAAAGGGTCATACAGCAGCACCTATTGGAAACGCACAAAGACACAGAAATGTAAAAAAGCACTCCTTAATATGAAGTTACGGAATAAAACATAATATTTAGAGCTCTGTGTAAACCGTCCCATGATTTTACCTCCACAATAGTCAACAAAGCTTCTTGAGAACTTCTCATCACCTCCATCGTCTTCTCACAGCATCTGAAAGGGAAAGCAGGGTTCAGATTATTTATAGTGCTGAATGTTTAAAATGTCTAAATTGCAACAGATTTCCCAACATGAATCTTAATCTGTGGTCTGAGAAAAGATTAATGAGGAAGTTTGTTTAATGACACAATGTAATATGCCATTTAAATTTATAAAAGTTAATTAATTGTGAAGGAAACTCATCAATCAATGGTGATTGGCTACTCATACAATAAAAGGATTATATAATTTTTTTATTATGTCCTGTAAAACCTCACTGACTAACCTCATTGACAGGGGATGCACTTTGTTTTTACCTCGATTTTTACTGCAAGCCACTTTGCAACCCACCTCCACTTCAGTTTATATTTTCATGTCTGATTCAGATTTGTCATCTCATGGATGCCTGCCGTGTTCTGTCACAGAGTCTTTACTTCCAGTTTTCCATGTATGAGTATAAAAGGGCCTGAAGGTCCCAGACCACTGCTGACAAATAAGAGCAACATCTGAGCATAATCGTGAGCTAACCTCCTGAAAACTCCTTCCACTCCAGTGATGCCCATACCGTCCACAATGTCTCTGGAGAGTCTGAAGGGGACAGTCTCAGGGGTGGGGAGGATCTTGCCTTGCTCAAAGGCCACACCTTTAAAACATCAACAACAAAAACACACACAGTGAAGAAAAAGGGGCATCCACACTGGAGGAAAAAAAAACATTTTCTGAAACAAAGCGTGACCTTCTTGGTGTAAGAATACCTAAATCGATGTGCACGAGTTCTGCAGTCTGTTCGTCGATCAGTATGTTCTGGATGTGTCTGTCACCCAGACCCACGATGTAGCCGACTGTGGACACAAAACAGAAAACAGAAGGTTTGTTTTTACAATTACTGGATTGTTGTTTGGAGATAATATGAAATCTCGTTGCTGCAAATGTATATTTTTTAATTCTGTGTCATGACTGATAAAAGTTTTCTTTCAACTCTGGACTTCAACTGAGAACAAAATGTTGACACGCTGAGGTGAAAGGTGCTGTTTTATGTACAAAGCAAACCGGGATGCATCAATCACCTTAATAATAATCAACACCAACACTTTAGTTTCAAGTCACATCAATTATGTCGCCCTTCGGTTTGTGGCATCTTGTATTTACAGTACATAATGAGATTTACTCTGTGAGACGGTGTACCTATAGAGGAGGTGGCCACACTGCGAGTGTAAGCCAGCCGCTTCTCCATCCACACTGCGGGATCCAGGAACCGTTCCATGCAGAAATACCTAAAGACCGGCCTGAACTTCGTGCACACCTCGTTGTAGGCCTGCATCTTCTCGTCGAATGCAAGTCTCTGAGCGTCCTGCAGTGACAGCCCAACAAAAACTACAGCTGTGAATTCTGAACCCATAGCAAGCATGTGTTGCCATGTTGCAAAAGTGTTTTCCTGTCAGTACCGCCATACCATCATCTTCCTCCGGCAGGCTAGGTTGGCCCAATCTTGGGGTCGGAAGCGTTTGTGAGCTCCTTTATTGGGCTCCACCAGAAACTCCCCGATGGGCACCGTCCCAGAGCACCACTCTAACACGCCACTGCGCTGTGAGAAAGGCACCACCTGGAATCAAGTATATGACAGATTTTCTTTTAAGCAACGAAGGGAAAAAGAGATGAAAGCAAATGTGAAGCAGTGCCACAGATGTGCGTCTATCGGGGAACCTTGTATCGTCTGATGTTGAGCTTCCTCTTGCGAGTGTCTGTATTGCGCTGCAGCAGCATGGAGCACATGCCGAAGACCTGCTGCATCACTGCGTCCTGTCGCAGGTCGTCCTGACCCTGTTTGCATTAAAACACTAAAATCACTCACAGGTGAGGTGACCAAAATCATCACAACGATCCTTTATTTTAGTGCAGTTCAGTGTATTTGTACAGCCCAGTATCACGTGTGAGGGCTCAAACTGCTTCACAGCCATTGAAGCAAAACAAGAACAGACAGACTGAGTTCTGTAGGACACTGGGAGTTTTAAGACGTTTGCAGTCATTCATTTGTTAATGGCTGAATTCTTCGGTTGATAGTTCCTCTGAGTTTCAGGCAAGACAACTTTGGAGGAACTACTTTGAAATTTAATGCAATTTAATGCAGGGGTGTCGAACTCCAGGCCTCCAGGGCCGGTGTCCTGCAGGTTTTAGATCTCACTCTGGGTCAACACACCTGAATCAAATGATCAGTTCATTACCAGCCCCCTGGAGAACTTCAAGACATGCTGAGGAGGTCATTTAGCCATTTAAATCAGCCGTGTTGAATCAAGGACACATCTAAAACATGCAGGACACCGACACTCGAGGCCTGGAGTTCGACACCTGTGATTTAATGTCTACATGTGACATGAATCTAGTGAGGTGGGAAATATCTGGTAAAAAGTAGTAGAAAATATTTGTGCATTTTGAATTTTCTGAATGATGGGAAAAAGGTGTAGAAGTACTGTAAGTTAAATCAAGATTTTTTAAAGGAAACACAATATTGTACTGAAATGTACATGGGGAGGAGAATTTCTTTGAGTGGGAATCACCACACAACCCACAACACAATGATATCACATGATATATGAGAGTTATCACCTCTTTTCAACCACAAATTATGTCCTCAGAGTAAAACTTTGTCCATATCTGTTGAATTCAATAAGATAAAGTTATCTCACAGTTACTTTTTTGCTGTAAAATGAGACTTTCACACATATGGAACCTGCCAATGAAACCTGCTGTAAGACAGAGTCAGTCGGCTGTCAGAGTCTGCTGCTGTCTGTGACTGAATTGGGTCAAGTTGGCAATTACATGCAATCTGTTTTTGGTAATACAGTAAATAACTGTGAAAAACCATCGAAAATCGCATATCTGTTGCGGTCTACACAGAGAGAATTCACATTTACGAGAAATGTGCAACCTATAGGAAAATAACCACAATACAACCAGCTGGTGGCCAAGTTGGGTCGCGTCTCCTCGAGTTGATGTCATTGACAAAGACTCATTCAGACTGATGGCAACATGTTGGCAATCTGTCTGCATTTATAAATTAGACAGCAGCTATTTACAAACCTTCAAAGATCTCTCTGAGAGTGACTGCAGTCAATCCAATATCCTCTCTATATATGTATATATAGATAGACTGGCTATAGATACCGAATGAAAGTGGAATGGAGGAATTGTGAGCCACCTCCTCTACATGGATGACACATCCATCCACACAACCAGGATTTACAGCAACGACATTGGAATGTCATTCAGATTGGAGAAGCGTAGTCGGATGGTAACGAAGAGAGGGAAAGTAGTCAGAACTGCCAAAAGGCAACATCGCTGACATTGAGGACAGCTACAAGTACCTGGGAATCCTACAGGCAAACAGAAACAAACAGGAACAGCAACCAGAGAGTAAGGCAAGTCCTGAGGAGTCAGCTGAGTGGGAAGAACAAGATCCAAGCTATCAACACCTGTGAATACCTCAGGCAGCAGAAACACAAGAAAGAGGAG